GTGGCAAATGTGAAGAAAAGACATTATCGGTTCTAAGAAAGTAGAGGATACACCCCTCCCCAAAACATACCACTTTAAATATCAGACTGGCTATAGTCTTAAGAGACCTAGCATCCCACATGATCATTAGGCTGCAAGATGTATATTCGGCTTGAGTTACAAAGAAACATGCTTATCAAGACAAAAATAAGAAAAAAACTCTATTAACATTAGTTACTAGATTCTAGATTTTACAAGATGGGTTTCTTTCTTTGTCCTAGAAAGGGGGTCTACTATTTGATATTGAAATTTAACAGTTGTGACAAGATTATGTTCTGAAGTAAAAAGGATGAGGTTTGGAAAGTGAGTGAGTCCGATTTCTCATTTCTTAAGGCCTTGATTTGAGCCTGGTACTTTGGTCATTTACCACCACCTGGTGACAGCTAGATCTAAACGCAGCTTCATGAAGAATCCACGAACCTCTTCAAGGTCAAATTTACAAATCTGAATGTATCAAAAGGAGTAAAGGTTGCAGGCCAGCTGCATGGCACCCTGGATGTTGGAGTGGCCCTGATTTGGCAGGTGCTTCGAGGACATCCACCTTGGGTCACCAGGGCCTCTGAGACTCTGTTCCAGACAGTTTTGCCCCTGAAGTCTAAGGGAGGGATTGGTGAGAGATGGATGTATGGAGCCCCTGATTCACTCCCTCGCTGTCTGGGAATATAAGGATGACAGACGTCTTTACTCTCAAGAAGCTCACAGTCTAGGGAGGGAGAAATACTAGTAATAACATAGCAGTAGCTACATTTAGAGCGTTTATCATGTGCTGGGTTCTGTAGGATACCATGTTTGAAGGTGGTTTGATGTTGGCAGTCATGACTAACACCGTTTTCTGCACAAATGCGTGGTTTCGAGATTGAGCCTCACAACAGGTATCTCCTAGGAGGACACTGGGCCGTGCTCCAGGGGCAGACCCAGGGGAGACAGTTGGGGTTCAAGGTCAGCGCCCCATGTAGGGTCTGAGGGGCAAGTCACGCGCTGTCTGCCAGCCTTGGTGTCCTTTTCTCTCTCATCTGAACAAGTCAACCCTGGTCACAGGATATGCTGTACAAGGAATGGTCAAGGATAAAAGTATTCACTTAGAACAAGAGCACGATTGCTTCTGGAAGCTTCAGTTGTTGAGAAAGGCAAGCCTTGGCAACAGAAGCTTCAGCACCCCAGACCCTTCCCACGGCCGTCCTCTCCTGAAGGAGGTGCCTCTTTCGCTCCACCTCTGTCCTCCTAGAATGCCCCGGACTCCCCTCCCACCCCAGCCTCCAGGTGACAGCTCTCCTCCGTCGCTACTCATTTTTTAAAAATGAAAATCCTGTCCGTCTTTTCCTGGGAACTGTTCGTCAGGGTGCCTTTCAACCCTTGCTTCCTTAGACTCACAAACCGGTCTGATTACTTCAGAGATAGTGAAGCAAGTGTATTTGAAGTCTCTTTTTATGTTATTTGATGAAATTTACTCCAACCTCCTTGGAACATTGTAGCTAATTTTAGTACCTGTTTTGCCTAAAGAACTAAAGTCATTTTTAAAAAAATCTTAATACCATAGGAAGGAATGAAAAGGAGCATTATAAGGATGATTTTTGAAAACTATTCCTACAAATATTGAAGGACATTTAAAGAAATGACTCTCTTTTTGCCCATAATCCTACCCGAACTCAGAACTGTTCCATTTATTTAACTTCTGGCTTTTACCTTCGATCGTTGTGAAAATTTTTTTTAATCCCCCCGAGGCTTTTTGTAAACACTTAAATTTTGCAATATATTTGTTTGCAGTGTCTCTAATAAATTCCATCAAATTGATATTCCATAATGTATTACCCAGTCCTTTAGTGCTAGACATTAAGGCTATTTCCATTTTCTATTATAAATAATAGGAGCAAGAACATCTTTGTATATACAGCTTTTTTTCCTGTGTCTGAATGATATCCTTAGGATAAATTCCCAGGAGTGGGATTAGTGGGTCAAAGGGTATGAACAGCTTTATGGCTCTTAATATTTATTGCTAAGTCACCCAAAGGGTCATTCTAATTTACAATGCCACCTGCAATACATGAGAGAAGCTGTCCCTCCCAGCCCTTTCAGCACGGAGTTCTTCAGCCAGTGGTTTGGGGCAAATTTAAACGTTATTAAAGGGTAACTTGTTACTGTTTTTAATTGGGAATGTCTTTAATTATTTCTCAACATTGGACATTTTTTCTTAAATGTGCTTCTTACTATATTCTATTCTGTATGGCTTACTTTTTATGTCGGAGTGTATTTTTTGACACTAGGTGGAATTTAAAATGTTTTATCGTGAAAATGTCAAATGCACTCAGGACAGACAGACTAATCAATGAACACCCCTCCCCCAGGCTCATTACCAGTTTCAACAAATAGCAAATTGGCTCTATTTACCTTCCTTGCCCCTTCTTTTCCTCTTTTTTCCCCCTTTGTGTAGTTATTTTAAAGCAAATCCCAGACATTCTGCTTGTGTTTTCTACACTCTTCATCTCTAACACAATGGACTTAGATAATTGTAATGCTATTGTCACATCTAACAAATTTAATGATAGTTCCTTGCTATTATTTAGTACCAATCTGTCCTAAAATTTTCTGCAATGTCTTTAACATGTCCTTTTCACTGTTGCTTTGTTTCAGTCAGTCCAGAGAAGGTCCATTATGTTATGTTGATGGTTGTGTTTCTACCCTCTTTTAATCTAGAGCACACTTCTCCCCGTTCTTCCTCCTCCCCCGTCAAGTTTCCCCCACCCAGTGACATTGCAGGAACTGAGTCTGTTGTCCTATAAAAGTTTCCATGTGATGGATATGACTTCCTGTTTATTAGCTCCGGCAGCTTGGTGAGACTTGGTTTTAACTTTCTTGCAGGGGTAAGCAAGAATACTTCATGGTGCTGCGTGACTTACTCCATATCTCTTCAGCAGCACGCGTGTCCCACTTCGGGTGACGATGCTGAGGCAGATTGTGGTTTCAGATGGCGACAGCCCAAGGCGCAGTTGTAAAGTTCCTCCTTAGCTTTGCCCCTGACCATTTCATCTATTAATGATGGTTCCTTGAGCGCGTTATTCCCTAGAGATTGCACAATGGTGATTTTCTAAATCTATCATTCTTTCCCATTAACTGGAATTCTTCTGAAAAGCAAAACTTTTCCCCCTTATCACCTAGGACTTTTTAGTAATCTCAAAATGCAGTTTATACAAGAAAGGCAGGATAAATGCCTTGTTCTTTCTCTAAATTGCCAGAGTTTTTTTTTTTTTTTTTATGTTTATTTTTGAGAGAGGGACAGTACAAGCAGGGGAGGGGCAGGGAGAGGGGGAGACAGAGAATCCAAAGGAGGCTCCATGCTGTCAGCATAGAGCCCAACGCAGGGCTCGAACTCACTTACCATGAGATCATGACCTGAGAGGAAGTCAGACACTTAACGGCCTCAGCCACCCAAGATCCCCATATTGTCAGCTTTCTAAGTAAGGAGCTGGTTCCCTTGTTACTCCCAGTGGTGTCCAATGAGTCACTGTTACTGTTGGTTTTTGTTTTGGAAGAGTCATAAAGTACTCAGGGTCTTAAAAACATGTATATTTCATGCATTTTACTCCATTACATTCATGATTCTTTTTGATGCTCGCATTGTCCCATCCTTGGCCCAAGGGAGACCCTTCACATATTTGTTTTCAGGCATAACAAGGTGTCTTGGGTTCATCTAGTATATTTTCACGCCTGGAAATGAGATCTTCCTCCAAGATGACTTGTATTTGTTGGTGAGGGTTGGTGTATAGATGCCACAATCTGTATGTATTCTGTGCTTCTTGTTATTATTTCTAAGTTTTCTCAGTGCACAGGGTTAGGAAGTGCGTATTTAACAAATGAAAATAAAATACTAGGAGTTCATACTGATATTTTCATACCAATTTAACAAAAAAAAATTATTTTAGTTCTTTGATTTCACATTTGTTTCTCTCTCTTACACAAAAAACCTTGGGTCCAAACACTGTTATACTACAATATTTCCAATAGTTTCAGAGCAACACTACCGATATTATTACCAACCATTTTCCTAGTGAATAAGAGATTTCTTTGCAGTTCTGTTTATGTTTAGAATATATTCCACTAAAAAGAGTCAAATTAGCTTGTTCTAACAACACTTGGGTTCTTTTCACCAATTTGATATACAGTTAAGTTCATTTATTTCAATTTGTTTTCAAGTTTTAGGATTTGCTTTTTTTTTTCCTTTTTGGTTTCATTTTATTTTTGGATCCGTAAAATACACTTTCAAAACTAAACGTAGGTAAGAAGGTGTTATCAAAAAAGTCTTTCTTCGTCTCCTCTGAGTTCCTACCTCTCTCTATTGGCAGCTCTTTCTTAATAATTTTGGTTTATCTTTGCAGAATTTCTTTTTTGCAACTATATATGCATTCATATGTCCTCACCTCTCTTACAGTGAAGCTCACATACTATTCCTTACAATGCACCATATCTGTTCTAGAAATCAGCAGAGCCATCCATTGTCACGATGAACCATGGTTTTTTTAACCAGCTACTTACTGATTGATGGAGTTCTGTTTTCTCTGTGTCTTTTAAAAACCAAAAATCCTTTGTCCAGGTCATTTTATATTTTGGCCAGTGTGTCTTTGGTGATCTCTTTCTAGAAATGGGATTGCTAGGTTGAAGGGCAATGTGATTATACTTTTGACTTTTTCTAGCTCCTGCTAGATTCACTTCTAGCAGGAATTGTGTCATTTTGCACTGAGAAGGGTTTTGTAAAAAGACCTTGCAAATGCGCAAATTCAGTATACAGTTGGAAAAGTTAGTGTGTTCTTTAAAATCACAAGTTATTGATTGAACCTGCACCGTTTCCCCCTAATGGCTATGCTGTAGCCTGGTACAGAGCACCTGGTTCCTGCCTTTTCTCCTTTTTTTAAAGTTTATTTATTTACTTTGAGAGACAGTGAGCACAAGTGGGGAGGAGCAGAGAGAAGGAGAGACAGACTCCTAAGCAGGCTCTGCACCATCAGTGCACAGCCCGTTGCAGGGCTCAGCCTTGCTGTACCGTGAGATCGTGACCTGAGCTGAGATCAAGAGTCGGCGCTTAAATGACTGTGCCACCCAGGTGCCCCCGGTTCCTGCTTTTAGGGCTTCCATGGTTTGTCTGTGGAAAATGACATGAATGAAAAGCAGGGTTAGAGTAGCTGTAGATAGACTGTGTTGTAAAAATAAAGGTGAAAGTCCAGCTCAAGCGTCTCTCTTGAGGAAGCCTTCCCCACTTACCGCAGGCCACGTGAGTCCTTGATCCTCTCACTTCATTTGCACTTTTAGTGACAGTGACCCTTTCTCCAGACCCAAACTTTTGAGCCCTGGTTGAACAGATCCAAATGAACTAACAGGGATGACAGAGCTGAATGTTTGAAATGTGGGCTGCCTCACAAATTTGAGCTGAATAATTATTTTCTGCGGAGGTGTGTTTGCATTTCCCAAAGCATGTTCTCTGGAACATACGTGGGATGCTACATGGGTTACACAGCAAAATCAGTGTGGAAATATCAGGCTGAACAAACCCAATGAGACGTGACTCCAAAATCAGGTGCTGTCCCACGCTTACGTGGCCACAGAGCCCTCTTTCCAGGGAGCATCTCGTGTTCATACTGTTCCATGAGCCACGAAGAACATGTGGGTTCTGTTTAAATGAAAACCAAAGGTTGATTAACTTGTGTTTGTACAGTTCTGTAATTTCTTAACATTTTTTTGTTTCTTTCTAGATTGAATCATTAAAGAAAAAGGTGCAGCAGAAACAGCTTTTAATACTGCAGCTTTTAGAAAAGATATCTTTCTTAGAAGGAGAGGTAAGAAGCTGTGTTTCTTGAAGCTGGTGTCTTCCCTACCATTAAATTTTATGTTGCTAAGCCTACCACTGACACTTAATTAAAAATATGGCTATTTCCTGGCCTTATAAAATTGATTGAAGGTTAACTGCCAACACTGAAAATGAGGTTCTGACAGCTAGTTTTTCTTTATCACCTGACTCTCCTCATTCCAGCTTGCTGTGCTCACCGCTGCTTTTTGGCTCTCATTTTTCTTGTTCAGGAATTTTCTTAGCAAGTTGGATAAGCTGTTGAACAACACTGATAATCTCCCACGTTTATGTAGTGCTTCATACTTTTGTGAAATATTTTTCATGCACATTCCTCACATGGTTCTCTCAGTGACTCTAAAAGAGACAAAGATCATTATCTTTGTGTTAATGCAGGTTTTAAAAGGAGGTACAGAAAAAAGAAAAGGAGGCACAGAGAAGGCAGGTGGCTTTGCTCAAGGTCACCCAGCTTAGCTGATGCCAGCGCCAGGCTGAGAGACAGGTCCCTAACCAGTGCTCTGCTGTGACATGGAGTCAGCATGGTTAGAGGTGACTTAATTTCACCTCAGGTTTTCATGACATTTAGTCTTCCTGACGAAAAAGTCACTTTGGGGATTTGGTGTAGGTTCCAAAAAAGGAAATTATGGAGTTGGAAGAACCTGAAGAGCTTAGGTATTAATAGAAGGAGAAGCCAAAATCTATTTGCTCTGCGGGCTCTGTTAGGAGCTTGGCACTGAGCCTCTTCCTTTGAGCCTCATGAATCTCTCCCTGTTTGTGCTCGACATAGTTCTTCCCCTGAGGGAGACCGCCCAGGAGAGAATGATGAAGTGAGCAAACAGGGAAGAAACGACGTCTATTAAGCACCTGGTATCGTTGGGTGTGTTAATTGCTCTCCCCATCCTTTGTAGAACATAAGAGGTTAAGAGTGGAATTGGACTTGCCCAAGTTGGAACCCTAGATCTGCCTCTTAGGAGCTGGGTGATGCTGGGGAAGTTTCTTATAATTAAAACATGAGGACGGTAATTGCACTTATGTGTGTGTGGCCGTGCAGTAAGGTAGAAAATGCCTGGCATGTTTATGAAGAGGCATGTCTTAGGAATTAGATTATACTTCTCCCATTTTATAAATGGGAAACTGAGGTTCAGGGGCATTAAGGAGCCCATCCAAGGTGACATTAGAAATGGGTGAGCCTGAATTCAAAGCTTGAGCTCTTCACTGCCGTGTTTGTAGGAGGGATAATCTGTGCTTTCATTTATTCTGTTTTGGGAGCTGCCTATAAAAGTCATGACCAGGGGGCGCCTGGGTGGCTTAGTTGGTTGAGCATCTGCCTTCGGCTCAGGTCATGATATCACGATTCGTGGGTTCGAGCCCCGCGTCGGGCTCTGTGCTGACAGGTAACTCAGAGCCTGGAGCTTGCTTCAGATTCTGTGTCTCCCCGTCTCTCTGACCCTCCCCGGCTCACGCTATCTCAGGGGGAAAAAAAAAAAAAGTCATGACCAGAAGTCCCTCATGGCCCACAGGGACCTGGTAGCAGATTCAGGTCCAAGGAGTCTCAGTGTCCTGACAGCTGAGTAAATGGCGTTTTGCCCTGGCCCTCTCCTGCCTTCCCCTCCACAGTCCCGGGGTCCAGCTCCAGCCTTACTGATCGACATTTCTGAGATCGCCCTGTGAAGTCACCGCTTTCTGTGGGAGGAATCACACCTTCCCCAGTGAGATTAGAGAGCGAGGGCCCTGGTGCCAGCCCACGGGTCCAGAGAGAAAGGGTGGTTCCAGGAGAACGGAAGGAGAAGCTGACAGGAGGCACAGCAGGTCACCCAAGGCAGTGCCCACCAGCTCGCCCTTCCCCATGGCTGTGCCACTCAAGCCAGCTCTACTTGTAGGTGATGAAATGTCCGAGGGGATGTTAGCAGAGAGAACAGCCAAACACACTGTGCTTTAATGCTTCATTTCTTCCTGTCTTGCCCAGACCCTGAGATGTGGGTCTTAGTCCACATAGTTTATTTGACAGGTGATCCCAGGAAGCCCCAGTGGAAGGGGGGAAAACTGAGTCAGGGAAAAGCTGAAAGCCAATAATGGGTGCCTGGCTGAGGGTGTTGCCACCATGGGCAGCTGCCACTCACTCTCCTTGGGGGCCTGTAGGAGGTGCTGTGCTCTGGCCTCTGAGTTATCCTTACCAACAGGTCAGAAAGCTGGGCATTTAGCCAGTGACTCCCGTCAGCCACTGGGTGAGGCCCGCTCCTGGGGGAGCAGAGGGACCAGCTGTGGCCTGTTCCGGCAGGGCCACCTAGACTCTGGTGGTTAGAAAAGCCCTCAGGAAAAGAGTCACAAGTGGCTGTCGGGAAATGGATATGAGCGGGGCCAGCAGTGTCTGCTGTGTGTATCCGGTGAGCAAGACTTTGAGAACCCGTTTTCCTTGAGCATTTAAATACCGGTGATAAATTTGTTTGACACAATTCCCATAAACTATTTAAATTCCTCTCCAAATATAGTATGGCTGATTCCTTTTGATTACTTCCTACATCCACTTAAACAGCAGATAACACACACACACACACACACACATACACACATGCAAAATAAGTTACATAGTGATAAGAGTAATACATTTACACTTGATCTTATTCTAAAATATCTTGGGCTTAGTTTATTTATTTCTTCACTGTTTCTGTTGTTGTTTTTTATATCTTCCCAAGGCTATTGTTTTACTTATTTCAAAGTTTTCTTAGAGTTAACATCATTGTAACACTTTCCAGACAGGTGTACGGCTCTTTTAGGTCTGAAGAAGACAGAATAGCTTTTCTGAGTAGCTCTAAGGTTAGAGCGTGTGGGTTCTGGGGTGCGCACACAGGATGAAGTGACTTCAGGGTGACTCAAAGTCAAGACCCCTTATCATCATGATGCCTGGACCTAATTTTTAGAACTATTAAAAACGTTAAGTGTTCCTTAATAGTTTACCATACTTTGTTGGGCCAGGTAGAGATTTCACCTCTGAGGAGGTGAGAGTTTGAGTTGAGAACTTGTTCCTCTTTAGGCTGTGTGACTAGTTTATCCTGTTACAAACACACTGCTGACTGTTGGTTCCTTGCTAACTGTGGGTGACCACTAATGGCAGTGACCTCTGCCCCTCTTCCCACCTGGTGGTTATGTGATTACCAACGCCAAGCAGTCCTTCCGTGGGCCCTAAGGTCCTGGGATGACCTGACTTAACAGTTTATTTTGTTACTAAAAACAATTTCTTTTTAATGTTTAATATCAGACACACTGCTGATACTCATTTCCTGACCGGCCACTTTATATTTGAGTGAGTGAGAGAGACAGCATGAGCAGGGGAGGGGCAGAGAGGGGGACACAGAATCTGAAGCAGGCTCCAGGCTCTGAGCTGTCAGCACAGAGCCCGACGTGGGGCTTGAACTCACGAACTGCAAGATCATGACCTGAGCCGAAGTCAGATGCTTAACTGACAGAGCCGGCCAGGTGTCCCCAGTTTCTGTTATTATTTCTTACCTGATACAGAAGTTTTATAAACATATAATACTCTATAAAAGAAATTATATCACCTTATATGTTAATGCTTTCTAGTTTTAAAAATCAATACAAATTGTTAGATTATAGTCACCTTTTCTATTAAAACCATCTTTGTGTACACTTGATATTAACTTTCCCTTTAAGAGTTGTGAACACAAGGCATTTCTCAGACTATGTTTCCATAATAATAATTTCCTTCTCCTTGGCCTTTTTTGATGCCCAGATTGTCACAACTCAGTGCGAGTTCTCGTACATTAACTTCTTTGCCCGTGTGGCAGGGTTCTTGACGCTTTGGGGTTCATTATTGAAATGTCCTATTTCAAGATACGGGATTGGCTTGTCTCTGAGGAGCCCTGGTTCATTTTAGTGGAGAACTATACCGAGAACTACCCGGGCATGAGAACTGGTCATGGCTGAAGCTCTGGGCCTAGTGTTAGGCCAGTTTTGCTAGTGACAGAATTGGGGGGAAATGTCTTTTTAAGATGATGAAGTCCCACTGACATATTTCAGATGTATCTAAGTAGACTGCTTTACGATGCAGCGTTCTGCTGGCCCTAAGACCTTCTATGACGTTGGCCTGTTCTAACGCCAGTAATTTTTATATCATGCTTTCCATCCCCTGCTTTAAACCATGATGATGCCAAAGGCAGTATTTCAGATACCTTTGAAAAGTTTTCATGGACAAATCTGGTAACTTCTTATATTCCATCTTATTACATAAGTAGCTACCTTTTATTAAGGGCCTAAATGCAGACTCTGAAGCAAGGCTGCCTGAGTTCAAATCCCCACTCTGCCACTTAACTAGTTAGGTGATCCTGGGTGAGTTAACTGTTCTGGGCCTTAGTTTGCTCATTTGTAAAACAGAGTCTTCTCTTTACCTTGGTATCGTCTCCATAGAGTTGTTATGAGGATTAAATTAATAGGAAGTGATTAGAAAAGTACATGGCTCATAGTAAATGCTGTGTTTACTGTTTCTTCAGCTGTGTGGGCCCCAGGGTCTCCCTTTATGTATGTATTTCCTTCTTCTCCTCTTCCTCCCCACCTTTTTAAATATTTTTTTTTAACAAGTTCACGTATTTGAGAGAGAAAGTGTGAGTAGGGGAGGGGCAGAGAGAGGGAGCGAAAGGAAGAGAGAGAGAATCCACAGCTGGCTCTGTGCTGTCAGCACTTGGGGCTCAAACCCGCAAACCTGTGAGATCATGACCTGAGCCGAAGTCAGACGCTTAACCGACTGAGCCACCCAGGCACCACACATTCTTTTTTAGAATAGAGAATGTGCATCATTTTGGTTTCTGAGTCCATCATTTGTAATTACTAATGCTTATACTCATTGGGTTTTGAACCCTCACCAGATTCCTAAAAGTTTGCCCTATCAACCAATTCAAAATCTCCCCGGTACAAAAATATGTCCATTCTTTTTCTTTTTTTCCAAGCAATATTTTTTTATGTGCCTACCTCTTGAATAAGGACTATCCCATCCCCTATTTCCGATATAGAAAATGTTATTAAAATAAAATTATAAGCATATGCCTCCATGCGGTTGATAAGCTTTCTGAAACTGAACAGATTCCATTCTGTTCTTCTCTGCTGCAAATCCTGAACCTACAGCTGAATTCAAAGGTAAGAGCAAAGGACTCACATGTCTTCGTTTTGTCCATCCTGCATTTAATGCGTGTTGTATGGTACATAAACCTCTCAGCATGTCTGTTGTGCATTCCTGGGACTATTAGTAATGTTCCAGTGTAGTAGTGGGGCGGCAGCACCAGGCACCGGGGCTCCGCGTCCGCACTTTATTGGACACGCGTTCTTGTTTAGTGCAGGTGCTGCAGCTCCGGCCGCTCCCTCCCCTGGGCCTGAGGGAGTGGCTGACACACACGTGGGGGTGGGGGTGTTAACATACGCTTGTGACTTCATTTCCAAAAAATGCCACAAGGTGCTGCACCAGGTCCCTCCTTCCTGAAAGGCACGCAGCCTGTGAGCTGCATTTCCCACCTGAACACAAGGGGGTGGTATTTGACAGCAGGTCAACCCTGGGTCTGGAGCCCCAGTCCCAGAAGCAGTCTTGTCTAGAACACAAGCCAGGCAGTAACGAGGCTGCTGTCATTCGGTTCACTTGAAGTGGAGTCTGGAGGACTGAGAGCGGAGTCTGTTTGCCTGTACCAAGACCTGGCAGTTTTCTAAGTTTTTCTTAATCTGTCCTTCCTTCTCTAACTTCCCTCCTACTGATCCTGTTGAGGCTCCCACCTTCTTTTTTTTCTTGTGTGTTCATTTACGTAAACAAACTGCATCTATGTAAAGTGTATAGTGACCGATCGGAACGAGGCTAATTGTGGTGGTCACTTCACAGTATATACAAATAGTGAATCATGGGGCACCTGGGTGGCTCAGTTGGTTAAGTGTCCAACTTTGGCTCAGGTCATGATCTTGCGGTTTGTGGGTTCAAGCCCTGCGTCGGGCTCTGTGCTGACAGCTCAGAGCCTGGAGCCTGCTTTGGGTTCTGTGTCTCCCTCTCTGCCCTTTCCCCACTGGCTCCCTGTCTCTCAATCTCTCACTCTCAAAAATAAACATTAAAAAAACAGTGAATCATTATGTTATATACCTGAAACTACTATAATGTGATACTATACCTGAAAAAAAACTAAAGGTTATAATTCAGTGACTCTTGACAGTTGTATATACCTGTGAAACTGCCACCACAATCTAGATACAAAACATTTCCATCATTTCCCAAAGACTCCCTGGGTCCCTTTGTGGTCCCTCTCACTAGTCATCACCCCTTGCCCTCCGCAGGCAGCCAGTGATGGTTTTTTTTTTTTTTTTTTGGTGGGAGGGTCACTTTATCACTTTTTGTCACCGTGGACTTGTCTGCATCTTCTGTAAATGAAATCATGTTGTATGAACTCTTTCGTGTCCAGCATCTCTCACTTGCATGATGGTTTTCGCTGTAGCTATGTTGTATGCATTCCTTTTTATTGCAGAGTGGCATTCCCTTTTATTTATGTGCTCATTTGTTGATGCACACTGGAGTTGTTTACAGTTTGGGGCTCTTGGGAATGAAGCTGTGAGGAGTATTACTGTACAAGTCATTATGTGGACATACGTTTTCACTCCTCTTGGGTAAAGTCCTAGTAGTGGAATATATGGTAGATGCAGGTTCAAAAACAAACTGTGTGCTTTTTGTGTTCTTATACATTTTTGCCTACTACAAGGTCACAGAGATTTTTCTCTTGGTATTTTCCCTAAATATTTTATAGTTTTTGCTTTCTAATTTATGTCTGTAATCCATTTGGAGTTAATTTTTGTGTTTGGTGTGAAGTAAGGAGGAGTATACACCCCCATCCCCCCCGGAGATATCCTGTTATTTCCTGTGAGCATCCCTTTAATTCCTATTATTGATAATTTGTATGCCACCCTCCCCAACTCTGTGTCTTTGATCAGTCTAGCTAGGGGGTTCTCAATTTTGTTGTTTTCAAAAACTAGAACAGCTTTTGGCTTTGTTGATATTCTCTGGTCTCTGTTTTCCATTGTATTGAGTATTGCTCTGATATTCGTTATTCCCTTCCTTCTAGTTATTTCGGTGTTGCTTTGCTTTTTCTAGCTCCTTTGGTGGACATTAGGCCACTGATTTTAGAGCTTTCTTTTTTAAAGGTTTACAAAATTTTTTATTTATTTTGAGGGAGAGTGCATGAGCAGGGAGAGACAGAAAGGAGGAGAATGCCAAGCAGGCTCCGTGCTGTCAGTGCAGAGCCTGATGTGAGGCTAGAACTCATGAACCATGAGATCCAATGATCTGAGCTAAGATCAGATGCTTAAGTGACTGAGCCACCCAGGCACGCCAAGCTTTCTTCTTTTTTAATATCAGCAGCTATCAATGTCCCTGCAGACTCTGCTTCAGCTCAGTGGCACCCCTCAACTTTGTTATGTTGTATTTTCATTATCATCCAGTTTGAAATACTTTTTAATTTCCTTTGAGATTCTTCTTTGACTTATGGGTTACTTGGAAGTGTGTTGTTTAACCTCCAAATATTTCAGGTTTTCTTAGATATCATATTATTTCTAATTGTTATGGTCAGAGAACATACTTTGTATGGTCTTAATTCTTTTAAATTTATTGAGACTTGTTTTACGGCTCAGCACATGGTTTCTCTTGGTTTGTGTAAGAAAATAGGTATTCTGTTTGTGTTCTATAAGTATCAATTAGATTTAGGTGGCTGATACTATTGTTTTTCCTGGGTTTTGTGTAATTGCGCTATCAATTGCTGAGAGAAGGGTGTTAAAATCCATTACTCCGGTTTTAGACTATCTCTTTAATTTTGTCATTCTTCTCCATATATTTTGAAGCTCTCCTATTAGACAAACACATTTTTTAAATTGTTTTGTCTTCATGATGTATTGGCCTTTTCATGATTATAAAATGTTCATTACTGCTTTGTTCCTACTCTGTCTTGAAGTCTATTTTCCCTAGTATTAATATAGAGGGAATTCTTGCCCTCTCAAGATTACTGTTTGCATGGTATATCTTTTTTCACCCACTTAGTTTTAACTGATCCATGTGTCTGTATTTAGTGTGGATCTGTTGTAGATAGTACATAGTTAAATGCTGCTTTTGTATATATTCTGATAGTTTTTTACTGGACTATATAGTCCACTGGCATCTAATAATTAATAGGATTGGATTTAGGTCTATCATTTTATTGTTTATTGTTTATGCCCTCTGGTTATAGTTTTTGTTTCTCTTTCGATGATTTCAATATACTTTTAGAATTCCATTTTATTATATCAAGTGGCATTTTGCTTTATCTCTTTTATCCAATATATTAGTGGTTTCTCTGGGTATCACAATATACATCATTAACTGTTCAAAGTCCACTCAGGTAATATTGTACTACTTCATGTGAAATGTAGAAATCTTGCAATGGTATAGGTCCATTCCCCCTCCCCCTGCTGTTAACAGTTATAGGTAGTCTATCTGCACACATTATAAACCGAAATGCATTCATTTTAATTTTTGCTTTAATAGTCTCTAACATAATATTTAATAGTCTATTATATATATTACATGTAATATGTAATCTAATAGTATTTTAGAGAAATTAAGAGATAACAGTCTTTCATATTTACTCATATAGTATCTATTTCTTTTTTTGTTTTTCTATGTATTTCTGAGAGAGAGAGAGAGACAGCGTGAGCAGGGGAGGGTCAGAGAGAGAGGGAGACACAGAATCCGAAACAGGCTCCAGGCTCTGAGCTGTCAGCACAGAGCCTGACGCGGGGCTCGAACCCATGAACCACGAGATCATGACCTGAGCCGAAGTCACATGCTTAACCGACTGAGCCACCCAGGCGCCCCTCATATAGTATCTATTTCTGATGTTCATTCATTCATTCCTGAAAATCTGTTTCTCTCTGGTATCCTCTCTCTTCAGCCTGAAGACCTTTTATTTAGCATTTTGTGTAGTGCAGCTCATATTGGGACAAATTCAGTTAGTTTTCCTTTATCTGAAACGAAGTTCTCTAATTCAATAATGAAAATTAAGTAGAGCGTTCCAGGATGACAGTTTCTTTTAGCACTGTTTTCTGGCTGCCATCGTTTTTGATGAGAAATCCATGGTAATTCAAATTATTGTTCCCCTATATGTAACAGGATTGCTTTCAAGATTTTTTCCTTATTTGTGGTTTCCAGTAGTTTGACTAGGATATAACAATGTATATTTCTCTCTGAATTTATTGTTTGGGGTTTGCTGAGATTCTTGAATTTGTAAATGTATGTCTTTTACCAAATTTTGGAAATTTTGAGCCGTTAAATCTTTGACTCTTTTCCTGCTCTAGTTTCTTTAACCTTCCTTCTGTGATTCCAGTGTCCCTATGTTAGGCATTAGAAATTGTGCCATCATTTCAGGAAGCTCCATTTGTTACTTTCAGTCTTTATCTTATTCTTATTGAACTTCTGTTAATGTGTCTTCAAGTTCACTGACTCCTTTTTTTGTCATCTCCATTCTTTTCTTCACTCTAGTAATTTTCTAAAATTTGAGGCAATGTATTTTTCTGTTCTAAAGTGTCCATTTGGTCTTTTTACGTTTTCTAGTTGATTTTTTTTTACTACATCAATTAGAAGCATATTTTCTTTGACCTCAATGAGCATAGTTATTATAGCTGCTTTCAAGTCCTTGTCTGAAAATTCCAACATACAAGTCCTCTCTGGATTGGCATCTATTGGTTCTCCTTTTCCCTGGGAATGGTCACATTTTCCCGACTCTTCACATACCGAGTGATTTTGGATTATAACCTTGACTTCGTAAAGGTTTTGTTGTGGAGACTTTGGATTCTGTTTTATTATTGTTTTGAGCTGCATTGAGATTTTTGTTTTAGGTCATGAAGTTGGTTAGACCCAACTCCACCCTGCCCTGCTGTGATAGCTTGTATCTCAGTTCAGTTCTTTAAGCCTTGGCTGCAAACTTCTTTGTTTGCCCCACACATGCATGGTTCAGGGGTGTGCCAGACACTTGAGCTGAGTCTATACACAGAATTTAGAGTTTCTTACTTTGTGGATTCTCTCCTTTTGGTTTCCCCTTTATTCTTGGCAGTCCTGGTTATGCTAGACAACTCCTGTTTTGTTTTTTTCTACTAGAAAGATGATCTTTATGTTGAATTTTTAAAGCATCTGTGTTGTCGCCATGACTGTACTGTTTTTGGGCAAAGCTGCAAACAAAAACAATGAGTCACAAAGAACCCATTCTAAGCCCCTCTCTCCCCTCTATAGCTTGCCTGTCTTGCTGCAGTCTCCAGAGAGCTAAAGAGATGCTTTTTTGTCTTCTGTCCAGAGTTTCAGCTAATTTTTGCAGGACAAACCATTGGTTTACTGCTTGCTGCTCAGTGCTATAAATGCAGTTCTCATTCTTTGAGCTAGGAGATTACAATGACCTCCTTGACTAATCTTCCTACCAATAGTTTGGTTTCCTTCCAATACAACTTTCAAGGCCAGTGGTTGAAATAAAATCTAGTGCTGACTCTGGGCTTACAGAAGGAGTATAAAGTACTTATAAAGGCATACTTAGCCCTTCCCAACCAACTCTTGTTACCTGTATACTTGAGTAAGGTGCATCCTCCAATTCTGGAACACTCATCTCTTTATACCTCTTACTCTCTTTCTTTTGCCGAACTCAAGGAAATCTTCACGGACAGTTCAGTTCTTTCCCCCTGTCTTGAATTCAGCATCTTCTCCGAGTTCCCCCTTATATTCTGTGGATCCCTCTGGCTTGGGACTTCTGACTTTGTTCTGTTATTTTCTCCTTAGTTGCCTGTGTCCTCATAAGACTGAAATCAAGGGTTGCAAATCATGCCCTATTTAACTGCTCTCCTCACCTAACTTTCCACACCACATGATACTTTGCACTAAATTTTAAGGGTACTGGTCTTTCATTTCAGTCTTCAGTGAGTATCTGATGTGCACACACAGAGTTCCTCTGAAATAGAACAAAAGATTGTGTCTACCTGCCCGCTACGCGCTGTATTCAATGCACCAATTAGGGCACACTTACTAACTTTGTCTTTTATGCCCCTTTATTATGGGTAGTCAACTCAGAATTATGTGAAATCCTCATTACTACTCTATCCTGAGAAGAGAGACAAGGCTGCGGGATTTCTGGAGCTTGTTAATGGGCAAGCGTCTTTCGCCCTGGTCTTTCCTGATGAATGGGAGAGTTCAAATATTGCTGGCGAAGCCGTGTGTGTGTAGATGTTGTACCTCAGGCACAAAGCCAGCAACATTCTCCTATCATGAGCATTAAGTGATAGGTTTGGAGCCCATCCATCTGTCATGGCTTGTGAGCTGCTAGCGAATCTGTTAATGTGTTCTTCCCCTGCACACCCTTTCCCTCTTTTCTGAAAGGATCCCTAGACCAGCAGAGCAGGAGTCTGTGCCAGAGTGGCTGCTTTGCTCCTAGGTACCAGCTGTGCAGGGCAGGAGTTCCTGAGCTGTACCCCACCTTCTTTCTTTTGAAACAAATGAGCTTCTTTTTCAAAGGGCTTTTCAACTTTTATTTGTTAGTGTCTTACACTAGTGCTTTAGCTTCAGGTCCAACTTAAAAAAATTGCTTTTTTTTCTAATTAATGCAAATAACATGCTACTTGTAAAAGTATTTATAGGTTTATTTGTTCCTTAACTATTTTGTATCTCTGACATGCCATGTTCTGAGGATATAGTGAAGTAGATATGGTACTGCCTTGTGAAGATTTAATCTGACAACAGTTGTTGGCAAGGATGTGGAGAAAAGGGAATGCAGACTGGTACTGGTACAGCCACTGTGGACAACAGTATGGAGGGTCTTTCAAAAAATTAAAAATAGAACCACCTTACCATCCAGCAATTGGACTACTAGGTATCTTCCCAAAGAATATAAAAATACTAATTCAAAGGGTTACATTTATCCCTATGTTTATTGCAGCATTATCTACAATAGCCAATTTATGGAAGCAGCCCAAGTGTCCCTGTGTGTGTGTGTGTGTGTATAATTACATATAAGTATGTGTTATATATAAATGTGTGTGTATATACGCACACAATGGTATATTATTCAGTCATTAGAAAAAAGTGAAATCTTGCCATTTGCAACACCATATGATTTCACTCATATGTGGATTTTGAGACAGACAAACCAAAAAAACAGATGAGGTGGCTAGCGGGATGGTTACATAGGTGATGGGGATGAAGAAGAATTAAACTAGTAATGTACAAAAAAGAAAAATTTAATCTAGCCTTACGGAGAAATATGTAGAATTACTTTTTAAAAACTGAAATCTCTCAATACACAGAGATAATCCCCGTTTTAACCCCTTTCTGAAATTTGTGTATATTTGCACTTCCACGTCTGTACTCCGTCTATTTTCATTCCAATATCCTCCACCCTCTTGCTCCTTTGTCCTTCATTTCCCCCGTGGGGCAAATTTCCAAGTCCTGAGCATCCAGTCATCAACCTAGGTAATGTCTGGCTCTGACCTGAAGAAAAACTATTTAGAATGCTAATTTTAATCCCAAGGAGCTTGTTCTACTTTATATGTTTGAGATTCTGAATTTTCCAAACCTAAGAAATACTAATTATTAAAGTTATGGAGGTATTTCCCACTAAATTAATAGACTTACTCATTTTATAGTTTAATAAGGGAGTATTAAAACATGAGCTATACCTTATTTATAATTGCAAGGAAAGTGGTAAATATCTAAGTGCCATCAATAAGAGACTAGTTAAAAAACGTGCATCCACACAGTGCATTCCATACAATGGAATGCTCTGAACCCAGTAAAATAGCTTGCTGGGAAAACAAAACTAATAAACATGGCAAGATCGACACAACAAATTGCTGAGTGGAAAAGACCCCAAGTTTAGCACATAGGGTATTTTGTTTGTTTCCACTTATGCAGAATTGGATCCATATGTATGGTACATGCCCAGAAAACTATCTGTAAAGATGTATTTCTTTAATTCCTACTGTGACAGAGGTGCTCGAAAAATACATGATGACAGATGTCCAGGTCACAGAGAAAAATCAGGTAATACATATAAATTGCATCTTGCACGTTTGTGGGGGACAGATTTTCTTTACTAAAAGTATTTCTTCCCTCCTCTCTAGAATAATGAACTACAAAGCAGGTTGGACTATTTAATAGAAACCCAGCCCAAGCCTGAAGTGGAAACCAGAGAGATTGGAGTAGGCTGTGATCTTCTACCCAGGTATTTAGGAATTTCCTATTTTTCTGACTCAGATTCCTCTCTGACTTAAGAAAATACTTTGCGGGGCTGTTATTACCAGAAATGCATTCTTTCTATCAAAAATATTTCTGCAACGGTAAAGGGTTGCTGCTGAGAAGTCTGGCTCATTTCTGAGGGAGCAGGGGCATTGTGCAGGGCAGAGGGGACAGCGAAGAGAGGCCTGGAGAAGCTGAGTCAGCGAGAGATTAGCCCTGTTGTAAGTGCGTGCCCTTTGTTCCTCCATCCATTCGTTCACTCAGCAAACACCAGATGAGTCACCAGACGTGTATGGAGAAGAATGAGATTTGGTTCCTGCCCCAGATGTGGTCTTGGAGGGACAGACAGATAGGGAAGCAGACATTTATGACAGCGCCAGAGGGGCTTGTGAGGGCCTTTGGTAGCACAGAGGAGGGAGGGTCTAAACCCTGAACAAATCCACCTATTCGCCAAGGGCCATAACACTGTGTTGTCCAGCACTGGCTCAGAGCTGTAAATCAGCAGATCGGTTTCCGTCATGACGGACAAACGAGAACCACCACCTTGTTTGTTCAGTTGCACTTCTGAGCTCAAGGACTGACCTGTTTGTTCCTAAGCTCCTCCACACACCCAGGCCTGGGTGTCTCCCTAGTGAGAGGAGAGTCTGTGACCCAGTAGCTAACCCACCATCTCTAAGCGCTCAAATCTCTTGGCCCAAAGAGGACAGAAAACAAGTGTGTAATATGGATGCTGATGGCATGGGGCTTTTGATTTATGTAACTAAAGTCACAGAGTACCTGGTATACTGTTTGTGGGAGGGTGTAGTTGTGTGTGTTGCATTAGACATTAGCCAGACAGAATAATGTAGACTCCTGGAAACTTGAATGGTTACATCTGCTGGGAAACAGTGGTGAGCCCATCACCACGCTGCCATGTAGAATACCTGGGTCTAGTCCTCACTAGCAGCAGATGTATCCAGGCTGGACTCTTTTTGCTGGGGCCTCAGTTTCTCATTTTGGAAAGTCAGTGGTTTGAGTAGGTGATTTCTCAGGTTTAACCAGCACAAGCAGGGAAAAGGATATGTAAGTTGACTCGAGGTCTTATCAACGTGGGGGACAAAGTACGTGATAAAAATATAGCCAAAAAGAATGATCATGTCCAGGGACTCCTTGTGAAACAGTTTGATCATTTCTCTCCTTTTTTTGTTTTTCAAGAATCAAGTAGTTTAGTCCACTTTAATTGCCCACATAATAAATCTTGTTAGGCTAAGACGGGTACAAAACTATGTCTGAAACCAATAAATTGTTTGTTTTCCAATTCCCACATTTTGGCTTAAAACAAGGTTTTCAATTTGTGTGCCCAAGGATAGCCTGCAGCAAACTTTTATGGCTAAGTTATGAAACCACAAAGCGGTTTTCATAATGGAAGTGCTGACAGACCCTTAACTTATGGCCATGGTGAACTTGGAAGCCACTTCGGTATCTAAAAGCAGCTTTTCCATAAATGTAACATTTGGTTTCCCCCAGGATCCATCTTAGCACTTTAACTGCGTAGGTCAATCAGCAGAGGAAATGAAAACTACGTATCCGCATTTCCGGAAAGGCAGAGTAAGATTTCATTCTCTTTTCCTCACAGATATTTACTAAGTGCCTACTATGTGAAGGGTGCCATGCGGGCCTGAGTGGCGAGAAGCTAGGGGTCTTTAGAAAGAAGTCAGAGTAGCAGTTTCCTACCTGTGCTTCTTGGTGCTGCCATGCTGGGGCTCAGGGTCAGGCCTCTGGAGCCTCAGGGGACGAGAAGGTGAGCAAGCAGCTGGCCCGTGGGGACCCTCCCCTACCTGGAAAACAAACCAAACCCGAGAAACTCAGCTTTTAGTATGTTTTATATGTTGGATTCCAAGTGAGATTTTGTTTGAGATTTGACCAAATCTCTATGGTCAAAAACCAATTGGAACCTGCTGGTCTTACTTACTTATTTTAATGTTTATTTTTTGAGGGGGAGTAGGGGCAGTGAGAGGTGGGAACAGAGGACCCGAAGCAGGCTCTGTGCTGACAGCGAAGAGTCCAATGTGGGGCTGGAACTCTGAACTCTGAGATCATGACCTGAGCCAAAGGCCAAGTCGGATCCTTAACCAAGTGAGCCACCCAGGCGCCCCACGCCTGCTCCAAGTCTAGTTTAATCCCCATGTTTGAAAAATATCAACATCAAGGCCCAGAGAGAGATGTGATTCACTGGAAGCCCACACAGCCAGGATTAAAACCAGGCCTTTGGAGTCCTGGTGTGGTACAAGTGGGAATTTATTTATTTACTTTTACTTCTAGGAGAGGGAGACTCAGACTCTGAAACAGGCTCCAGGCCCTGAGCTGGCAGTCAGCACAGAGCCCGACGCAGGGCTCGAACCCACGAACCGCGAGATCATGACCTAAGCGAAAGTCGGATGCTTAACCAACTAAGCCACCCAGGTGCCCCAACAAGTGGGAATTTAAAGTAATAAACAGAGGGTTTCTGGATGGCTCACTCAGTTAAATGTCCAACTTTTGATTTTGGATCAGGACATGATCTCACGGGTTTCTGAGATCGAGCCCTACATCTGGCTCTGTGCTGTCAGTGTGAGCCTGCTTGGGGTTCTTTTTCTCCCTCTCTTTAGCTCGGCTCTCTCTCTCTCAAAACAAGCATTAAAAAAATAATAGAGTCACTGCATTGTGTTGTAAATGTTCTAACAGAACTCCTGGTTCTTACTTGGACTTTAAACTTGCATCCAATACAAGATCCCATGGTGTCTTCCAGAATATTTTAAGAACCGCTTCCTCCCAGAGGTGCCTGGCTGGCCCAGTCAATAGAGCACGCAACTCTTTACGTTGGGGTTGTGAACTTGAGCCCCACGTTGGGTGTTGAGATTGCTTAATAAAGATTTTATTTTTAAATAAATAGCCCAGCCTCCTCCAAAATGTTTTAGATCAATAAAAGCATTGAATGAAGCCTCAATTATGCAGATGAGTTTTGTTCTCACTTCCTTTTCTCTCAAAATGAACCTGACGGGCACCTGGGTGGCTCAGTGGGTTGAGTCCAACTTGATCTCCTGGCTCGTGAGTTGGAGCCTCACAACAACCCCCAAAACACCTACAGATTGGTCCAGTTGGCAAGCCTCAGGCTGTGGGGCTTCCGAGCAATGAGTAATGCCTTGGGCAAGGTACTTTACCCCTCTTAAGCCTCAATTATTTCATCCTTAAAATGGGAGTGAAGAGGACAGTATCAAATCTCATAGGGTTTCTATGAGGATTACATGAAACCATGTGTATAAAGTATTTAGCACGGTAACAAGTGAAGCACTTAATAAACAGGCATTATTAATGTCAACTAAACCAAAACTCTGGTTTCATATGTAAGACACGATGTCAAATAGAAGTAAATTTGGGTATGTTAAGATAATTTCATTAACTTCATAGTGCTTCAAGTCTATAAATGCTCCATCATGCATTAAGCTCTTCAATTAAACCATCAGTGGGTTTGGAACCCTCTAGACATTGCATAAAACCCTGGAAGGCCCAGTGATGGAGGAGGTCTCTGCCCGCTGAGGCGCAGAGTGGTCCCAGGGCTTTCCAGGCGCCAGGCCTCACCGTAGAGCAGGCCCCCCAGGACTCACTTCTCCCTGGACCTGCAAGGCTTTGGTGCTGTGCTCCTGCTAACTGCGTCTGACCTACAGTTAGAGCTGCTCGGTTTTCATGCTGGGAAAAGTGGCAATCAGCCTTTTCTTTACTTACAGAGCCATTAAGCCCCTTTTATGAACTCCTCTCCCTACCGCCACCATTTCCCCATTTTGGCCAACACCGTGTACTCCTGTGGACAGGGACCCTGGGCTCTCTACCCCCCTAGTCTAGCACTTTGATGCTCTTATAAACATCTGGTGGCTGAATGAAAGGTGCATACCTAGTGAGGACCGACGCAGCTGGTCTGTACTAGAATACAACCTATTTAATAAGGACCCCAAAGAAGCATGTTTTGCTTATGTTTTACTTCTTTGTGATTATCCTCCCTCTCCTCACAAGAACATAAGCCCCATCAGGGCAGGGATTTCCATCCCATCACTAATTACCATCTCCATGGGACTCCCTTAAAATAGTGTCTGGCACATGGCAGGCACTCGACCGGACTGATACTTGTTGAGTGGAGCCATCCCTCCGGAGCATTTGACACTTTCTCCTAAGCAGCAGAATGTCTGCTTCCTGTCGGAGTTTGGTCTCGTCTCCCTACTTCCCGGGCCTGTCCTCCATCTTTTCTGATGGCTCCTCTTTCTCCTCCCAGATCCCCACCCTGGCAGCTTCGCGGGGCTCGATCGTGGTTACAGTAGTTCCTGCGAAGCTGGCGGCCAGTGTCCCAGCTTCACTTCTGTCCTGCCTGTGCTGAGCCGTCAGGTAGTTCCAGCCTCTCCAGCACACAAGTCCTCATTCCTGGCTGCCGGCTGGCCGCTCCCGGCTTGCTGGCCCACTGATCTTCACTCCCACCTACCGCACCCCCAGCTAACTGCATCACTGTTTTCCATCAAAGCCAGTTCCTCTGAGTAGTGGTCAGGAACACTGGCTTGGAAATTAGAACTGGGTTTGGGTCCTGGATCCGCCTCTCACTGCAGCTATAGCTTTGAGCAAATCCCTGACTTCTCCGAGTCTGTTTCTTGAGTCAGAACCGGACAGTAATTTTTGACTGTAATTCCCTCAGAAATTCGCTGGGATGGTGAGGTAAGACACAGGTATAAAGTCCTAGCATAGAGGGCACATTCTCCTATTTCTGTTGGTGCTACCGCTGCCTTCCCGGGTCCCTGAGCCCAGTACACTGTGGGCCCCTCGCTCCAGGACGGCCTCAGTGCCCACACACTCCTGTCTCCTCCCTTCATGGCTTCCATACCCACTGCCACCAGCCTCCTGGAGACCCGGGTTCTGTGTCTGCTTGTTTCATTGACCTTCTGCCTCCAGTTTCTCCTCAAGTCCTTCCCCTCTTCATCTAACCCTTGCGTTCCATACACTTCTAGAGAGCATAGGTCTTAAAGCAAAGATGGAGCGAAAGGGTGAAAAGGCACTCACTGTGATTTCAGGGGCTTTTAAACACCTGTCTTGTTTTAGAAAAAATTTAAAGGTTGATTTGAAAGTTTGATATGTATTAATTAAAGCAACTGAGAGCAATTTCCAGTCTGCTAGCCTTCAAAGAGAAAAATGAAAAACAGAAAATGAAAAGAAAAAAAAAAGGCGTTTTCTCCTTGCCCCTTAGTGAAACTTGGTTTCCAGCAAGTTCATAAATTATGTCTTAATAGGTATGATGTAATGAAAACATATTCCCCGTGGTCACAAGTGCGTGGCACATAGTAAGCGCTTTAGGATGCCTACATCTCATATTTCTATTGTACGGACCAGAACACAAAGCAGCTTTTTGTCAAAGTTCTATTTGCTGACTCTGCTATTGTTTCCCCCAGGGAACGGCCTCTTTATGGATTAATAAAAGGTTAACAATAGCCTTCAAGTGTTAAAGAAAATTGTTGAATTTTAGTTCTGTGGTTGAAATTATTTGTGTTCCTGAAATCCTCTTGTTTCCTAGTGATCAACCAAATAAAATACCTCACTTCCTTTTGAAAGGTTGGGATATGAGAGCCTGTTTTTGAAACTCAGAACATTCACCTTTATAAATATTTCTGGATTTTATGGGCTTTTAGGATATTATCACCAGAGCCCATTTCCGTCATGTGGAATTTTCACAGTGGTTGGCACAAATCACCATCTGGCTCCTGCCCCTGGCACTCTACTATAAAGTGCCTGGTCAGGTCACCGGGGACCCCTGAATTGACCTGAATTGACAGATCTCGTGCATTCCTCTACAGGAGGTGAAGTGCTGACCCCTTACTCCTGGAAATCCTTCATCCCCTACTTTCCTTCGTCATTCATACATTTAGTGATAGCTCTGTGCCTGGCCTGAGTGCACTGCTAGACTCATGGAGATGAGTGACCTATGGTTTTCACCCTTCACGAAAGTGTAACTAGCAGAGGAAGTGTAGACTAGTGGGGTAATGGGATGCTTCCAGTGGTGTGTCAGAAGCCTGTATGATAGTCCTTTTTAAGGTGTACATGGGGAGGATGGTTTGGAGAGCACGGAGAAGACATGGAATCTCTAGGGGAGAGACATGCGAAGTTTAAATTTTCCCGCAAGCTTCTAACACACCTCCAAAGAAGCTGCATCCCAAATATAATTGCAGATCACTTCAGGATAGTGGGAGGTGTTAACTGCTGGGAAAGTTTAGCAAAAGTGACCTGTGAAAGCAGAAAATTTGAGCACCACTGCTCAAGGAAACAGAAAACAAGCACAAAAAGAAAGGAATGATTGTTTCTATCCCTGGGGGTGCAGAATTGGGGAAATTGTCATATTGGAGGTGATGTAGGAGTCTTGAAATACAGGCAGGGATTCATCAGACCTGTGTGATTAGGGGAGCATTCAAGGCGGAGGGGACAACAGGAGAACGGCAGTGCAGCCACGATGAAAACCATAGGAGAAATAGCAGATGGCGGAGGGCCTTTAAGACCATGCACAAGAGCTTAGCCTTCATCCAAGAAGCAATGGGGAGACATTAAAAAGCCTTAGGAACAGTAATAAGCCCTGATTATCAGATGGAAGATCTCTTTGGCAGCAGAATGAGTAGAGGGTTTCAAGAGGGGAAAGACTTGCCGACACTGAAGGCAGGAAGACCATACTCAAGTATTCAAAGATAAATTTCGAGAGCCTGAACTAGGGCAGTGGCTGAGACAACAGAGAAGACAGATGACAAAACGGTAGCTA